GCAAAGAGGAAGCTACAAAGCATGGACATGTTCGCACATTGCTAGGACGGGAACGCAGGTTCCCCTCAATAGCTCGTGCTAGTCGCGCTCAAAGAGGTCATATCGAAAGGGCTGCTATAAACACACCAGTGCAGGTTTTTCCCGTGCATTCTCTCTCTCTCTCTCTCTCTCTCTCTCTCGCTCGCGACACATGAGATTTTGATTTGTTGACTGCAACAGGGTAGTGCTGCTGATGTTGCCATGTGTGCCATGTTAGAAATATTCAATAATGCGCATTTGAATGATCTTGGGTGGAGGCTGCTTTTACAGGTTAACTCCAGTTTCCTTATTATTAAACTAGCTAACACTTTGCCATTGTCATGAACAAAATTATAATTTCAAAAGAAATCTAGAAAAAATATATAGCAGTATGAATAATAAAAGCTAAGATTTTTAAGCATCATGTAATTATTAAGAACATATGAAAAGTGCTCCATGAGGAATGTGAATTGCTATGTTTTGTACCTTTCATTTTTTGTGGGGAAAAGATAAGTAGCAAGAACAAAAATGTAGGAGATGGAGGCTTATTTTCCTCTTAAATTCGTTCATTTACAAAAAAATTATAAGAAAGTTTATAGAGTAAATTTAAGAATAGACATTAGAAAGATATTGTTTGGTTGGGGGGAAGTGAGAGCAATAAATTGTGGAAAGGAATCTTTGATGAGAAAAAATTAGTCAAAGGGACAAAATATACACACACATGATATTTGCTTCTTTTGCTTTCTCTCCTAATGTCCTAAATATATCTTTCAATTGATCGTGTGTCAACTTCCCTTTAAATATTTGACTCAAGTGAAATGAAAGAACTAACTTCTTGTACTCTTTCTAAGCCACATTATCTGGCTCTCTGCCTTTTTTGATATGGTTATTTCTCAGCAATTTTGAATGATGTCTATAAATCTTCAATTTATTGGTCTTATCTGTGCAAATCAATTTTCATCTTATGATATAAGTAGACCATGTGAGAACGATACTGCTTGGTTTACTTCTTCTCTTCCTGAATATATGTTATTTGGTTGTTTCAAGAGATTTGGACGTTACGTTTGGAGTGGTAATTCCTTTGGCACCCACCATTTTGTTCCGTCATTCGGGGACATCCAGTAGAATTTCTTCAAGTTTTCGAAAATTGAAAATAGGTGTAGGTGTTATGGAAAAATTATGGAGTTTATGGGGAGGGAGGGTGTGATAAGATGGAAATAGGAGCATCATTTTTAGAGTTATTTAATAGTGGTTCAGATGTCATTTCTTTTTCAGCTCTAATTTTGATAGCAACCTTAAATAATGCTTTGCTCAATTAATTGCTTCTGTTCTTCATATTTCATCTTGGATTGACATGCTCCTTGACGCATTTACATTCACATTGAATAGGTTTAAGTTAGTTTAACTTGTGCAACAGTAAATCACAAACAATATAGTTTTTACTAAGAAAAAGGCGTAAAAAGATAAAGCAGTTTGTGTGGCTCTCTGTTATCTATCTTTTTTGGAATATTTTAAATTAGAGGGTTAAAAAAGGTAGCTATTGACGAGTTCTGGAAATTATCTTTTATGGAAAGCAGGTTCATGATGAAGTGATCTTGGAAGGGCCATCTGAGTCTGCTGAGGTTGCAAAGGCAATAGTTGTTGAGTGCATGTCGAAGCCCTTCAATGGCAAGAATTTCCTTAAGGTTGACCTTGCTGTTGATGCCAAATGTGCACAAAACTGGTATTCTGCCAAGTAGATGGTGTGGTTAATTACATAATTGGACCTTTGGTTTTAGAACCTCTATGTTATGAGGGCAGTGTGTAACACATTCCGGGGGCCATTTGCAATCTTGTTTTAATGGCATTCGCTCCTAAGAGGTTTTCTGCCCAAGGAATCAGTGTCTATAGCCTGTTGATGTGAAATTTTCCATCATCTTTGATGATGAGTTTGTCACATTGCAGCCAAGGATTACTAGAAGAGGGTTCGATCTGCTGCTTGGAAGCACTATGTGATTTTGAGACCATGGGGAAGGCTCATGGAAAAGCATGCCTTGTATATAGATTAGTCTACTAACAATTAAACACTTATGTTTTGTTGAACACCTCTTCTAATGTATTGTACTTTCCTTGGTGAAACTAATGTATGTTTTGAACAAGATTGAAGATGCGATATTACGTTGTCTTAGTTTCTCCTCATTTCTTTCTCTTGGTATAATACGTTTTCCTTTTACGAATTAGTTGGGAGAAAGAGGAATTAAGGATTTTAAAAATCCAGACCTACATGGGGTATGTGCATGTTCAACCAAGGTTACAAGGGGCACCGTAAGAACCTTAAAACGCATTAACCACAGTCGTGCATTGCCTATGAGCAACTGACAGCAACATACCTCATACTTGTAAATGAGACATCTGGGGTAACACTGACCACAATGATCGTTATTGTTAAAGTTGGATTTGTGTATTAAAAGCCCTTAAAATCCCCCCATGCCCCACGTTTGATAAATCAAGTGAACGCATTCACGCATTGAGGCATTTCCAACTTGAATATGATACATTAATGCTCTATGGCATAAAGTATTGACTGATTTCTACACAAGTTGCAGAGTAGTTTGACAATTATATATGCTGAAAAGCTTTCAAATCCCCTTGACTCATCTAATGCTCTCCCACTGGCAGGAAGTAGAACTGCAACTGCTGGAGGGGCTCCCTGGAAAAGAAGGAAAGAGAGATGGTTTTGACAAAAAGAGATGGAATTTACACATGAAAGATAGGTGGAAGTAGGCCTATGTGTGTACGGAAATGGCAGTTTTTCTTGTTCATCGGCGGGATAAGCAGGTGTTTCAGGAGACGGTCTAAAAATGAGCCCGGTCTAGAATAGAAAGAAAAGAGAACTCTCAACAAGCTGAAACTATGAACTAGACCTGTAATCAAAACTGTGGACATGGGTTAACTCCTATCCTGTAGGGACTATCCCACAATGAATCGACAACAAGTATCTTTCCTTTCAAAGATTGCTGCTTGAAACGAAGTCTGACTCTTCCGGATACGCAACGCCCCCTTCTGGAGGCCTTACGACGGCTACTTTTATTGAAGAATTTGAGAGGAAAGAAATGCCCTTGTTTCTATCCGACCTAAAGGTTGGGCATCCCCAAGACAAGAGAAGTATCAGTCGGTGAGGTTCGGATCAATCGGATCAAGTGAGGTTCAGATCGATCAAATCAACAGGAGCGAAAGCTGCTCGGAGAGAAAAAGAGAGATCAGTCCGGAATCTGAAACCCTTTGGTGTTACTGCAACCCCAAAGTCATTAAGTTCAAATCGTACTAACTGAAGGAACTATAGACCAAATCATCCACTCCAAACGCAAAGTTCACATTGAATACAAATTGGCAAATGAACTAGTAACTATTTGTCATGCTGTTGCAAATTGATTCCCCAGGATGATGCCAACTGCACCAAAAGTTGATCCGGCGTTGCACCTTCCCAGTCCTCAGGTGGATCCATTGCTAAAGAAGCTTCATGCAAATTCAATACAAGCTCCTTCTTTACTTCTGTGGGAAGGCCAAAAACATCTGATCCATTTTCCAGCACCATTTCAACCAACTGCAAAATGGGAAAAGGGGCTAAATTGTCAAATTCAAGTGAAACTGAGGCAGCTCCATAGATGAACACCAAATGCAATAAAATTGGGAATTAAGAAGTGTAACCCTTAAGAAGGAAACTTGTGAACTCATGAATCCTTCAAAAGAAAAGTTATCTTAGCTAGTAGAACAAGAAACAGGATTAAGAAAAACCTGATACCTGTTGAATCCAAGACAAACAGATGTCAAACAAGTTTGCCTCTGGTAAAAATTGTCCAACAGCATGCAAGACCTCAGTTGCTGTCTCATTTGAAAGTTGGTCAATCACAGGACCTGATCTGTCCATTAACTTTACAAGCAAGAGATCATCTCCTGTAGATAATACTTCCACATAGGCTGTATCCACATCACCCACTTGAAGAGCATCCATTGCATTAGTCCAAGAAGTCCAGATTGGATTCCGCTCTTGGCCCACATTATCATCTTCCATAGCCTCTGCGGTCAATTCAGGTATAGCTACTCTTGCTGCTCTAGATGTTCCATTGTCCTCTCCAGCAACACGAATTGCTTCCAAGGTAGCCTCATCTTTTGAAGCTTGCCAAACGCTTCTTGCAGAAGGCCCCTCACCGAGCCTAACAGGTCCAACCCCTTTATCCCATGCTCGCCTGTTGCCACCCTGATCACTCTCATTCTCTGATTTGGGGGACCTACCATCCACAGGACCACCTCCTACAGCCTTCCTTGAACCAATCTGCCCATTTCGAGAACCACCACCATATGTAGAAAAATCCCACACCTCAGACATGTCAGATCTCCAAGGTGGGCCCCTTCCCCTCACGCCAGAAACAATTCCATCATTTTGGGCAAATCTTTCACTGAATGGACTTCTTCCATCCCCGCCTCGTCCAAACTTGGCACTAGTGTAATCAGGAAAACCATTATACTTGCCTAAGGGCCTATTAGAAGATCCCTCAAACCCCATTGCAAAATTACCACCTCTCCTCCCTGATGATATAGATAAATCTCGTGCCAGGTCTTCAACAACTCTCTCAAGACCCCTTACTCTGTTCTCCAGAGTTACCATGCTATCATGAGACCCACCCATGAAATCCTGCAATTTAAGAAAGGTATCATATAATTTTGAGGAATACACATTAAAACCATTTCCACATTGCAGAAACTAAAATACCTGCAGCATGCTCATCAGATGACCTTGTTGTCTCTCCAGCTGTAACAATTGCCTTTGGATAGCCAACCAATTTCCTTTGTTATTGACAAAGGTTCCTTCAGATTGACCATCAGTTTTTGAGAAACCTGCACGACTGCTAGATGACTCCCTTTGATTTATATCAATTCTATCATCACCATCAACTGCTCTCATTCTTGGGTCTTTTCCATTTGCCCTTTCTTCTGGCCATTTACCGCGCTCAAAGTCATCATGATCTCGCTGTTTAGAATACAGACCAGCAAGTCCTCTCTCTATGTTACGGTATTTACTACTGAAAGATCCCTGAATATCATCAGATTGGCTGTTTCCATTGCGGTTTAGCCTTTCCTTTGAATCTGTACAATTTGGCTCTAGTTCTACCTCATTATTTGAGTTTGAAGAATTGAGATGTCTACGAGGAACAACTACCTCTACAGGCAATTCATCAGAACCCCTTTCTTCAAGTTTCTGGAAGAATTCTGGGTTTAGCTCTTTGTCAGTTAAGACAGGTGGTTTCTTCTTCAGAAGTGCAACTGCTTTATCTGCAGTAATACCTTTGGATTTAGAAACAGAATCTGAAGTAGGGGATGAATCATTAGATGAACCCTTTGCTGCTTGCTCTGTTCTCTCACTAGGCTTTGGATTTTTTGACTCATTCTTTTCTGACACCTCTGCTGATTCAGGATTTTCTTTATTAAAAATTTGTTACTAAAAAATAATCCAGTGAGAGACAAAAGAATTAGAAAATAGGAGCATTCAAAAAATATATACTGATATACTTACCATGAGACAGGCCTTTCTGTTCATTTGGAGCTTCATCTCCTCCTTTCCCAGCAATCTTTTTCCAGAACTGCAATGCCTCTGTCATGCTATCTCTGACAGGTTTAATCTGTAAAACAAATCAAACATAATTTTGGACACTAGGCCAAGAGAAATATATAGCCACCCTCCTATCTTTATAACATATTTCTTGTAGAGACGTTGGCTGATTTCACTAGCAAATTAATCCAACATTTCTTGATAAGAAAGTTTATCTTCCATACTTTCAAGTACCCCTCCCTCTCCCAGTAAACAACCGAAAAAAGTTCAAATATAGAAGTTCCACACGAAAAAACCTAATAAGGTAGTGAAATTTTTATATGCATACTAATCCAATGACATACTGTTCAGCATTGAATCTCCTTTGAATAATTGTGTACCAGTTATTAATACAAAGCCACAAGTTTAAAAGAAAAATGTTATTGTTTATAATCAAGTGATCCCCACGACATTATTAAAATCTGGTAATCATTTAGTGTGCACAGATAGTAAGGGAAAAGGTAATGTACTTGAAAGAATATGCAACAAAAGACTACCTTGTCAAAACGGCAAGACTCAAGCACAGTCAGGGTGGAAGCAGTTCTATCTTTGACCAAATTGCTTGAATGCAATGCTAATGCTATCAGCACATCAGCTGCTGCTTTACGTGTTGCCCAATCTGTACTTCCAAGGCATTCATGAATAATTTGCAGTAAATTTTCCAAGCTTTGCGGTGCAATTGCTCCAACCTGCAACAAGTCCGTACCTCTTCAGATCAGCAAAAATCCAAATAAATTATCCCAAGTATAGATCCAAGTGTTCATTTTATCCACCTACAAACCAGGAAGACAATGTATTTGATCTCACTATATCAAACCCAACACATTTTAAGTTAACACTCCAAATTAGCTCTCTTTTCTGCTGTCTTTTGTTTCCTACAACTTCCAGCAATCAAACAACCACATAAGTCCCAACTTTACTATCAAATTCACAACAATGTACATGACTACAAATCATTTGTATTGGAAAAAGAAAGTGAAGCTACTTATTTAACCAACCAAGAAGCAACCACATAATACATGAAGCAAACCTGAGACAGACTTGAAACAACCGGCAAGAGCGATGCCTTAGCCAAGAAGTTAGGATTGTTAAGCAACTTGCAGATCCTTGGACACAGCTTCTGAAAAGAAGAGACAGGTGGGTCGGCAGCGCAATCCACAATCTTAGCCATACACAACGCCGCACCAGATTGCACCCCTTTGTTCTGCTCCGCCATAGCCTCAAACAAAGGCTTCATAAACAAACCCACAATGGACCCAAGTACCCCATTGTCACTTACACTCTCTCCCTTCAAGTACTGCGCCGACAGCGCTCCAATGGCATCGCGACACGCGTCCCTGACGCCGGAATCGGCGTCTTTGAGCCTCTTAACGATGTGAGCAATGATTTTGGTCAAATGGGTCGATGTGAAATCGGGGTGGGAAGCAGAGACCAATGCGAGTAAGCGCAAAGACTCCTTCTTGACGGCGGGTTTTGGGTCAGCGGAGGCGTCGTAGAGGCAATTAAGGAGCATAGGGAGGCCCTCGGGTGCGAGGGTTTGGATGATTTTCTCGAGATCTTCGACGGCGATTTGGTATGTGTCTCGGTCTGAGAGTTTTGAGAGGGAGGTGAGGATTCTCTGCTTCAGCTCCACCATGGCTAAGTGGGTTGAGAGGGAGGAAGAAACAGAAGAAGAAGAGGACTTTGAAGAGGAGTTTGGGGGTTGCTGTGGTTGGGATGTTGGTGCATTTGAGGTTGATGGGTTTTGGGGTTTTGTGGGTTTTGAACTTCTGGGTCCTGCAAAACTCATGTTTTCAAGCTGCTGGTTTTGGTTTTTCAAATGGAAAGATGTGAAATGGAAATGGGTTTTCTCTGATTCAAAGATTTAAGCTTTCAGGCTTAAGCAGTGAGAGAGATACATTACAGACAATGCTGTTGCAGAGAAGAAAGAGAGAGGGAGAGGTGGCCAGGTTGGGGTGGAGTGAGGGCTAAGGCTCAGCTAAGCTAGTGAAAGCAAAATCAAAGCTGCAAATTGAAAATGAGAGATCTGGGAGGGACAGGATGAACAAAAGCATCAAAATGCCAAATGGTAATCTTTTTCCAAAATAGATTGGAATTAGACTAATCCATGTTTTTATTATATCAGGAAAAAAGAAGAAGAAAATTTCTATTTAAATGTGAGGTTTTATATATTTGGGGTGGCCTAAGAGAGTGTGAGGTTTAAATAAAAAATTTAAAAAAAAAACCTTAAATGAGGCTTTATATATTTCACCTTTTAAAAATTAATTTTTGATGGTGTTCAACTTTTCTTTATCTTTATTTACATATCTTATTTTTTTTCAAAATTTGAAGATTGTTTGTGGGTCAAGATCAAGTTTGAAGTGAACGCCCATCAAAAATGATGTCGAGCATTTGTTAATCTGGGATTTGTTTTGGGTTGGTTTGGAGGGGTCAATCATTAATATTTTATGGAGTTGTGGAAGCGCAGTAATCAAAAGAGGACTAGAGGCAATGTGAGGGCCACCATCAAATTATGAATATGAGATAGCAACGTCGTGATTGGACATTGAAATTTGAAAAATAAGCAAGGTGGTTATAGTTTTGACAATTAAAAAAGAAACGACAGATGTCACTTTGTGGATTAGCACAATACAAGTTAAGAAGCAATTCCGCTTTAGAGCATCTCAAAGGGAGATATTAAATACCAAACATCAAATTTAAATTTGATGGCTGATGTGGCAATTTGACATTTATACAGTTTTATACTCCACCCGATCTGTCAAATAAATAATTATTGTAACAGTCAAATTATTTAAGATAAAGAAGGAAAAAAAAATTAAAATAATAAATGACAGTTACAACTAGCTGTCTTTAAAAGATAATAAAATATTCATTTGACATCTTGCTTTTGGGATGTCAAAAATAACAGCTGAACATCCAGCCTTCATTCCATATCAGCTTTGACAATTCGGTTGGAGTGATGTGAAATGTTATTTCTAACCGTTAAATGTCTATGTGGCACTTTTGACATATCGGTTGGAGATGCTCTTAGAGCACTTTAAGGGTGAGGCAAGGGTTTTCACTATTCACGCGAAGAGTGGCAGTTAGGGGTGGGCACTCAAACCGGCGAATTGGAAATCCAAGTCGAACCATACCGAACCAAACCAAAAAAAAACCGAGTTGACCAAAAAGTCAACAACTGGTCAAAAATCAAACCAGATTGGTTTGGACCGGTTTTGGATCCGGTTCCATGTTTTCAACAATCAGACCGGGCCAAACTGAACCGGTCAAATTAAAAAATATATTTTTTTAATTTCACAAAAAAAAAATATATTTATCCAAGTTCAATTTCAAAATATCTCTCTTTTCTAACTTTAATATTTATTTTTATATGAAATTGAATAATTTGTTAATTTTCAAGTAAAAATAATAATATTTCAATTGAGAATTGTATTAAAAATTAATTTAAAAAAATTAATTTTTATAATCTGGTTCAAAACCAAACTGAACTGGAATCGGTTCAACTCGAACTGGACAGTTTTTGAATTTTTTTAATATTAAAACTGAACCGAACCAAATCGGATGAATAGTATCTGATCGATTCTAATTTAAGGCAAAAACCTGTCCAACTCGAACCGTGCCCACCCCTAGTGGCAGCCCTTGTCTTTTTTGTTCCCACCCCTAATTTTGATAAAATTTTTAGTTGCCATGTGTCACTATTTATCATAAAATTCACATATCAAATTTCAGATAAAATTTTCAAATAAGATTTTCGGATTGAATTTTTGGTTGTCACGTGTCCATATTTATTATAAAATTCACATCTCACTCATCACACAATTGAAATACATACTCACTCATCATACAATTGAAATACTCCCGGTCCTCATAATCCGACACAATCGAGTACAAGGATGACTCAATCATTGGAGGAGGCAGTTCCACTAGATCACAACTTGGGGGAGTATTTTCCTTCAGAGTACGTAATAGTGCTATTATTTCCTACACGGAATGCATCACTGGAACTGATTGCGGGCATTGTTCACTTGAGGAGCCATGTGAAATGGTTTTTCTCTTTTTTGTTTTGTCTTGAAAAGTTGCCTAAGGCAAGAGAATGGGCCAGATCTGCCTGTGGGCTTGCCTAGGTTCGTGGGACCCACCCCTTACCCAGAGTGGACTTGATGTGCTAAAGCTACTCCTCGGGCCTATGGCCCCTCATGCCTGGGCTGGCCTCTTGTGATGAAGATACTCTTATAGGTAAGGAGAGAGAGATGTATTGTCCTTTTTGTGTGTTATATGAATTTTTCTTTCTTCTTTTTATTTTTTGGGTATGAATATTGTGATTGGGCTTTTGCATTGTAGGGAAGGATTGGGACTTGTGGTGGATGTAGGGCTACGCATTTTAAATCGTAAGTCGACCAAATGGCGAACCAAATTGATCAGTCTTATTTGGTTCCTTTTTTTTTTTTCCTCTCAAATCCCTGGCCCCCAATTTAAGGATTATGAGCCTCTATATTGAACATCGGTATGCACATTAAAAAAATATATATATTAGCCACTTGATTAGTCTAAGTAATTGTATTAGATTGAAACTTTCACTTTGCATTTTATCATTATCACTTTTCCATCTCAATCACCTTTCCTTTTGCCCTTAACACTTTTGTTCTTTTTCTTATTCCTCTATTTCTTCTTAAGATGGAAAAATGATAATGATAAGGTGCAAAGTGGAAGTTTCATTCTAATACAATTAAGTTGACTTGGATTGATTAAAATTTGTTAGATTAATCTAGTGATTAATATTCTTTTAAATGTGTATAATGTACCAATACTAAATGCATAGGCTTGAGATCCACAACTTAAACCCTCTCCCAAAACCACTGACGTACTAGCTCAGGTTAAGATATAATTATAAAGCTAATATATTTAATGGCTTTCAATTTTGACAAAAAACTTTATATATATATACATATATATAAGAAACCGTTTCGATATCGAATTGTGTCTTTTAAAATCAATGAACACAATGTTTCAAGAAAGTACTAAAATTTCAATAGTTCAATTGAGTGGTCAAATGATATCGGATTCAAGTGATTTTTGAATTAGTATCTACAAAATAGACGGTTTGGATTAATGAAATATAATATGAAGTGGGCCCTACAAAAATGTCCCTCAAATAAGCTAATTTAAGGATCTCTCAATGGAAGCTCTCTGTATATGTATTCATATAAAAATTTAATAAGAGCTTCTAATTTAGTTCTAATATGTATACTATTATCATAGCTTCAATTTCCTTTTGGGCTAGGAATTAAATTGAATCCAAGCCAACCCTAACACTTTCTATTGTGCCATTTCCTCTCACCTTCTCTTCTCTTTTTCTTTCTCCTTGTATGTGTCTTCTTCTCTACATCTTTGTTTTTTTTTATTTATACAAATCTGCATCTTCTTCGTCTTCTCTGCATCTTTTTCTTCTATGATCTCTATGTCTACATCTTCCTCATATCCTCTTTTGGTCTCTCTCCTCTATGTCTCTATTTCACACTACCTCTCTCTCTACTTCAACTTTGTCTCCCTTCATCTTTGGAGATTTGAAGCCTTGATCTCGTCATTAGCTACCTCAAAAATTGATATCGAACCCGAACCATTTGTTCGGTTAATCGATTTTTTAGGGTGGTGGTTCAGCGTCGATTTCGAAAATTCCTCCACCAAGGATGTAGGTTCGGTGGGTGATTTAGGGTCAAACCCAAATAAAACCACACTAACCGAGTCCTAGGTGGATGTTTAATAAAGTCAAATTTTTTAATAATATTTTTCACACACACGCATATATATATATATATATATTTAACATTAAATGTTAGAAAAAACAATATGTAGCACGATCTAAGGCATCCATTTGGTGATGATGCTACGCATCTAATAACCTAGACATGATAACGGTAGCATTGATGCAGCCTTATAGGAGCCAGGAGAGCTCCATCTAACATGACTTATTCTCCAGCATTGAATCATATTGACCAACATACTAATCGATGACCTATATCCATTATATATTGTTTTCTTCTTTTCGGCCAACTAGGCTCAAACACATATTAAGTTGGATATGTTGGCCCAATTTGACATGACACTCAACCATGGAAGAGAGGATGCCTTGTAGTATCGTCCTCCCTAGAGATAGGCCAAGAAACCCAAAGTTGATATCATGTCAATATTAGGTGTGATTGAAATCCTTGCAAATAAACTATATCATGTAATTTAGAAATCATATTTCGATCCTAACATAGTGTTTGGCGACTGTGTTATCAACCTAGGTATTTCTGCCGTTTACTTCTCATTGATCTTGACATGAACCAAGCTATTCTCCAAATAAACCCTTTTTTTCCACATTAGTTCTAGAGCCTTTCATGAATAATAGGTTTTGTCCTGCTTACCAATACTACCAGGCCGAGTTATCATGCTCTTAGGTGATAGGATAATCTTTGCCCTGTGTGAGACCTATACAAAGCCACAACACACAACATCGATATAGTATTTGTTTCAATGAAATGTTGTTAAAATAATAATATGTATGCAAGATAAGAGGAGAAAAAAACGGTAAGTAGTATTTTACATGTATCTCCCTGGTCACGAACGAGATCTATTATGGGTGTAAGGTCCAAAATCTATCGTGCTACCCAATTAGATCTCCATGTTTTGAACCCTTGTAATTTAAATTGGGTTAGGATTTAATTATGAAAACAAAGCTCTAAGTAGTCGTTATATATATATATATATTATAGTACAAGCGGTAGTCTAACTAGAGGGGAGAAGGTTTCTCACACACACACAAAAATAGTCGTTAAATCTAATCAATAGATATTGATAAATCAGAAAAGCATTGAGATAATCAGTAATTGCTATAATCTACAAATGTACAATCTCCCCAAGTTTCTCCATTTGAATTTTGGACTCTCCAAAATTCTTTGTGGTCGTATATTTTTTCTTAACTAGTGAAGCACATGAAGTGGAATAAAGAACCTTTTCAACATGTGTCGCAACTCTTTGAACAGTCTATCTCATAAGAAGATGAGTATGTCCAATATGAGAATCTCAT